ACCCAGGAGATCGTTGACGAGAAATGACCAAAGTCGATGCGTCTGAATCTGAGTATGGTCGCCTGGAGATCATTGGAGGTGGCATCCGAATCAGGCATCCAGGATGCCCAGTAGATCTAAGACAGAAGGCAGAAGTTAATTTCAACATATGAAAAAAACGTCTGGGATCCTGAGCATCGCTGCATACGTGAGTATATTGATAAGTGCATCTTGGAACTTGAAGAAAACAGCATCGTTGTAAACGCACGAAGTCGGGCAGGTTGAACAGGTGGTGCGGGGCATCCACGTCATGCTTGGAATAGAACTGACGCAAGATCTACCTCACTCTAGTCGTCATCATGAAAGCTTGGGATAGTGCTGACGCAAGGTTTACCTCTTGCTGGTCGTCCATCGACCCGTCACACCTGCTATCAGAGCTAGCAGTTCGTGCATTACAGCCATCTGTGAATTCCGATCTTTATCCGCGCGCCCAAGGGAACCACGTTAACTGTTGAGAACGCCACGGCCTGCCGCATCATGACCCACAAAACTGCTTCAAGCTGAGGCCCATGACAGGAGTTGCGTACGTATGGAAGAGGAGTAGCGGTCACGTTGGACCTTATCGGATCTCATCCACCGGGTGCTTGGCCCGGTACCCTTGACGGAACTACTTACATCGCAGCCATCTCTTCAACCAAAAGCCGAGGCCGGAAGGCGATGTCGCCCTAGAGAAATTTTGTCTCAAATCCGGATTGAATTGAGAATTAGATAGAACCTGAGAACGTTTCCCAGTGGGGAACAGGAGTCGCGCAGCTGCCGAATGGACAGGGAAAGATGTAGATGATATCCTGTGAGGTGGGAGTCTTGATTTCCAGCCCTCTAAGGCGTGTTCGTATACGCGACGTGGGGTTGGCGGCCGACCACGATTCAGGATAGGCGATCTGGGGAGAAGTTTGAACATTGTATGGTGGACAAAACGTGGGCGGCGAAGAACTGCCAACATATTAATGGTTGCCCCGACAAGTCTGATCCACGACTTTGGCATGAGTTTACTAATACACGCACAATTCACTTGCTCAAGGAGTCAACACACCTGGAGCAAGATACCGTCACCACCGAACCTCCATCATGATAGCTGCTTAGCAGCTGACAGCCAAACAATCCGGGCTCATGCGCACATCGTGCCCTTGTATACATCAACGATGAATGAAGAGTCTATGGTAGTAACATACATGATACGACCGGTCAAAGTATTACAGGGGCTACCTGACACACACAAAAAAAAGGAACATTTGGTGAAACTGGGCAGTATTACTAATGACTCATGAGGGCGCGAGGAAGGCGGAGGCCGTGCCTCGTACGAGTCTCGCGCTTGTAAGTATTGGCTAGTGCAACTCGGGAGCGGCAAAAGAAATCTGAACGTGGAACAGCTGGATGGCACTGCAACGTGTTGTCCAAGTCCGTTCGGCCGGGCGAACTACTCCCCGCAGTTGCGTGGGGCTGTGTACGATCGAAGATTGGGGGCAATTTTTTTCCATCATTCCGCTTGATCATATATAAACACCTCACTCCTCTTGCACCATAGAGCCCCTCTTCCTGCTAGGACCTGAACCAAGGCAGCTTTCCGTCTGGGCGTATCGATACCTGTCTCTCCCTCTAACCTACGAAACAGGAGAGCGCTTCTTCATCCTATAATCATCCTACCTTCGCAAGGGTCTCCAGCCGATCACTTGTTCTAACTTTTCCGCCCTGCTTCCCGACAATTGCTTGTTCAATTTTTGTGAGTCGCCTTCGCTACCTTATTGCGTTATATCTCAGTCTGGATTTCTTGAGCGCTTTTCTTTGCCACACAAAGAAGCTTTCCCCTTTTGTGATATGACAAAAAGTTTTTTGATGTGCCGAGAAAAGCGTTGTGTGGGCCACACCTGCTGCATTGATTATGTCTGGGTGGCGACGGCCCATGGTGCCTTTCACGTTCTAACGTTGAAAATGCACTCTCAATATATAATCCGAACCGGTCGTTTCAACATTTGCTAACAATCTCCCGCAGACTACACCGCCAGCGCCTCCCGTGATCGACCGGAATGTCCTCTTCTCACCATCCCGACCCCCGAAGAATGTCGACTAACGCGCCTCGTAACCGTTACCAAGCGGTCCCACCAACGGTACGTCCAACATTGCCTCTACCCCCGTCCGCGAACTTAGGTACATGAAGAATGTCCCCCAAGCGCTAGGCGCCCACCGGTCCGATCCCTTCTATGGTCACGAGAACATCGCTCAGCTTAGTGGTCGCTTCATCACTCATCTATTTGACTGCCCGGACCTTCCCCCTGGCTCATCGTCCGCGAAACCACCGTCGCCGCTTCCCAATTTCATTGCCTACGGACTACATCGGACGAAACTGCATCCGTCCGTCACCTTTGCGGCGCTCATCCTCTTGCAACGTTTGAAAGCGCGTTTTCCGACTGCCAGGGGTTCTTCCGGTCACCGTCTATTTATTTCTGCGTTTATGATCGCCTCAAAGGTTATTTGTGACGACACCTACTCGAACAAGTCGTGGGGGATCGTTGCTCAGGGAATGTTTTCTCTTCGAGAGATCAATCAGATGGAACGGGAGATGTGTAACTACCTGGAGTGGGAGTTGTCTGTCGACAACGCCATTTTGATTACCTTTGAGAAGAGGCTGCGAGAGGACTTCCGGTCGCCCAATGGTCCTTACCCGTCGTATCCCTTATCAATGGTATCAAGACGCGCCGCCAGGGCAGCTGCATCAGCTTCCGCCACTCCTGTACCCGAGCCCAACGACACCACAAGTCCGATACCGAACTTCGGTAACCAGCGGCCGCAAACGACACCTTCAGTTTCCCCACAACCTGCCCCGACATGGACGTCTCCGCGCACACCCGACACCCCGTCTCCCAGTTTCTCTACCTCTACATCGCCAGCCTCCTCGGCTTCGCCGGCGACGCCTGTGGGCGGCGAAGATTACAGTGCTAGGGTTCGCGGTTTGGATACCCCTCCGGTTTTCACACTATCGAGAGATATGCCGCCAATCCATCCACTAAAAGGACAAATGTTCGCCATGGCCATGCCGTCGAATTGGTAGCAACTAAGTAATCTTTTTATTCTCGCATTGATTTATCTCGCCGCATTTTCTCCTGACCGTACACATCACAATGTAACACTCTCGCATCTACACACGGACCTTCACCTCGATACCCCATTCATCTATACACACCCTTACAACATGTCGTCGAACCACGCATTCCGTTACTTATTGGGCTTGGTGAGCTGTATCACCATGTATCGAGAAGCAGCTTTCTATATTTTGCATTCCATTTTCTCTCCTCGCATGGTACGTGGTTACTTGAGCAATTACGCTTGTCCACTCCTTTATTATCCTATTGTACATACAGTACATACCAACTGCTGCAATCCAACGACAAAGAAAATGTAAAAGTGGTCTGATATAATGTGAACCCAATTCCCCGAGTCAAAGTTCCCGCCACCTTCCCGATGCGAGGGACAAAGATCTTTAGTCCCGTAAACGTGTTCTCAACAGCTTCATCCAGCCGTGGCATATCTTGACATCATGCCTCTTGCCGTGTCGTCGATTCAATCATGATATCCTTGGTATCAGAACTTCTGATTGAACATCCTGACACGTTTCTGCATCCACAGACAGTTGAACACTCGGCAATTACAAGGAGATACAGGATTGATTTCTTTGGGCAGCGTCGAAGCTTACTCCTTGCCCCTTCACTGGGGTCATTACGAAGAGCTTCGCTCGACCAAAATCGTCCCATGGATGGCTCCAGCGGATCCCACCGCACAAGAACACCCTGCTCCACATCTTTTGTTCTTCTCCGACTCGGGCCTCCTTCAGGGGGCATGGTTTCAGGAGCTTGGCCCCTTGAGGCAACCTCGCGGAAGCCCCTTCATGATTAGGACCTACAGACAGCTGCGCCGACGACTGAATTTGGGACATCATCGTTAATCAAACTTCTTTCCTCTGGCCGCTGTAACCCGTTTCTGTGCATCTCGCGGTTCCGGCTATGCCGTCGGGATCATACCTCGAGCCGCATGATCTGCTTGCATGCCAAAGATGAGGCCTTGAGGGGAAACGCGTGTCGGCGCAGATGGGGACCTGATAGCGGCATCCCTCATCGATTCTGTAAGATATCGGTGACCGAGGCCACATGCATTCGTTCTGTTTAAGGAACCTGCGCGTCACAGATCACTGCCAAATCTCAGCCTCTTTCCACTGTGCACTTTCAAATGGCTAAGCACAGAGGCCTTTTATCCATCGGCGTATATTTATTCGCCTGTTCGATCATGATCGCCAGGAATCTGCAGATCGTTGACCTCACTGCCTCTCATGGGCATTAAACCGTAAACCCTAAAAGTTAACGCTTTGAGCGCTCAGCGCCATCTCAATCACAGTGTACGGGAATCGCCTATCGAGATCCAGAATCAACATATGCTGCGTCGAGGTGAGTCATCAGTCGAGCGCTCACTGACAATTACTGTGTAGCTCCCACCTGCATGATCGTATGGGCGCCATCGTGACTCGGGGACGATGGAATGATGAATATCGCTCAACGGTCATGCGCGCCTAGCGAATGGTCATGTTTCATAGTACACCAGTACGTAAGTTAGGCGAGAGCCCCGCAATACACCTTCTAGTTCAAGGCGCTTTTCTATACGGGTTATATCCTGATAGGTTGGAATCTTCACTTAGCCATATAAGACTCATAAGATGCGTCGTGCACCAGAAGTCTGCTTCTTGCAGTTTGATGTTATAAATCGTTGGTCAGGTAAGGCTTCCGAATCTGCATATGCGAAATCCACAGTTGGCCTAGATGGTAGTGCAAAACTTGAATCATCGACGGACATAACATGTGAGCCATCCAGATCCAGAGCGAGTCCACAGAACACAGTATAGCCCTCGGCATTTAGAACGACAAATCTTTCACATGAGACTTTAGAGGAATGATGATGCTTTGGAGTGCAAAAAGACATGCATTAAGAGGGAATCGAACCCCCGGCGGGTCGACACAAAGTCGAATGGCAACGACCCAGGTTACCACTACCCCATTAATGCTTGTGAACGTAAGGCCACTTTAAGCTTCAAGACTACAACACAGAACAAATATTTTGCAAGTCTTTGTCACTAGATGTTGAAGCGGAGATTCAAACCCACTCTTGCTCGTCGCCGTCGACGTTGAACCCACGAAGCATGCCATTCGGTCTGACAATTGGCACTGAGCGCGCTGCAGCTCTGCAGGCAAGTCTCTCTTATGAGTCTTATATGATTAGCGCTTACGTTCCCTTAGCAATCCATACAGGATGAGCTCACGAAACGGGGTTACAGCCTAGACGCTGGTAAGTTTTCTTCTCGTGTTATCTTGCAACTCAGGCTTACCTCTGCCTTGTAGACCCGGTAATGGCTGAATATATTACCATTATGGTCATTAACAACAAGACAGGAGGTGAGTAACGAATCGGCTGCGTTCACTGGCAATATACTGACTCGAATGGTTCAGCGCAAATTACTAGCGAGCTAGAAGATTGTAAGTGGACGTCTCCTCCGTATTCTTCATGTGTCTAATAATGTCCGTCTTGTAGTGATTGGTTCTGACTTCGGTACGTTTTTTTCATCTGGTCGTTAGTGCTCAGAGAAGTGATGGTTCCGAAGACCCCAGCTTTACGGACTGGTTATTTGTGGCGGCCGCTAAAGGCGCCACAGAAGTAGACGAACCTGCACAACCAGAACCTTCAACGTCCGAGTTACCTCCACGCGACGCTCCTCCCCACGTCCCCGCAGACGCCCCGCGTCGACTACCGAACCCCCCTCGAACTGGTGTCTATCAACAAGCCCTGTCTCAAGCCCTCCCTTCTACAACAAGCTCTGCCCACAAACGCTCATCCTCTGCCCGATCGCCTTCCCCGAGCCACCCTAACAAATCCAGACGCACGGACCTGCCTACTGGTCCCCGGGCCATGCTTCGTGATGGAGGCTCCACTTCCACAGGCAGCTCGCATGCCAACACCAGAAGTCTGATAGAACGGGTTGGTGGCCCGGCCGGCTCCACGCGGAGTGGAGGTGCACCCAATGGATTCCCGCACGACGACATCCAGTCCAGAATTGACAACATCGTAAACAGCTCACCCGAGCAGAATATGATGATGGCAGGCGGGTTTCCCGGCATGGATATGTCTGCGATGGCAGGCATGGCCAATCCTATGGTGTTCCAGGATATACTGATGAACCAGATGGCTTTGATGGCCCAAATGTCAAATATGATGACCGGCGGAGCTGGTCAGTTCCCTGGACCTGGTTATCCTATGCAGGGCATGCCAGGTGATATGAATATGTTCCAGGGGGGCATGGACAGTGGATTTCAAGGACCGCAGATGGGTGGGGCCCGTGGTATCAGTGGCAGGGGTAGGGGAAGCGGTCGAGGGAGGGGAGGATCAAACAGGGGTAGAGGAGGCTCGATGACATCTACTCCCAAGGCACCCGACGCGACTACGGCAAAGGATTTCACTACGTCCCAGGCAATACCTATCGTGGCCCCCGCTCCAATAACTCCTAATGCGCCGTCCGCTCTGTCAACTTTGGATCCGTCCTCAGCCGCTCAGCGCCCGGCATATGTCCTTCCTGAGCGACCGCAATCACCCACTCTATGCAAATTCAGCACAAAATGCACCAATCCCCATTGTCGCTATGCCCATCCCTCACCAGTCGCGACCGCAGAAAGTGGTGTTGTGCTGAGTAACGAAGCTTGTGAAAAGGGAAGGAATTGCAAGGATAAGGATTGTATCAAAGCCCATGTCAGTCCTGCGGTTCTAAACCCCCAAGGTATGTACATTGGGCCTCTTACCTTTATTACTTGCTCACTCTTTTGGCGACCAACAGCTGCTGAACAAGCCCCACCTGCTCTCGCAGCTCCTCAACCCCTCGCGCACACCACGAATGTTCCTTGCCGCTTTGGTGCCGCGTGCAACCGTCCAGGCTGTACATTTAGTCACCCCCGGCCTGCTCCTCAGACCTCCACCACTCAATGCCGCTTCGGTGCTGCATGTACGCGCGCCGGATGTGCATTCCAGCATCCCGAAGGTCGCGTGCTTCCCACTTCGTTCCACCGCGGTCTCTCGACGACAGGGCCCATGGTGAACGTACAGACTCCAGAGACAGGTTCTATGGGCAGCAACGTAAGCCACCACCGGAGTGTCAAATTCAACAAGTCTGGACCTGGTCTCGGGGTGAAGGAGAAACTTCAGCAGCAGATGAAGGAAATTGAAGAACGAAAAAATGAGGCGGAGAAAGCTGTGAGGGAGGCTGAGGCTGCTGCAAGTAAGAAGGACGAGTCCAACTCCGTCGCTATCGCTGCTTAAAATCCTTTGGGATGATGCAATCCCCTTCCCCGCCCACACGTCTTATTCTATCGCCAAGGTGGATTCCCTTCTCGACGAACTTTTCCGTGCAACACGAACTTCTCCTCCAAGATTATGTATACATCACCACACTGTAGTATTTCGTGGTCCCCTCGTCACCATTATTGCTCTATTTCCAGTATTACGTTACACTGATCGTCTCCTTTGGCTGGAGCAAATACAAACCAGACTGTTGTTTGCCTGGAACGCCTCATCGAAGGCGTTCCATTTCTCTGCCATCTTTGTTGCGTCCGTCTTGAGTGAGAAAACCAAGTACAACAAGGATATATTAGTAGCAACAGGTGGTACATACTATGTAAATATCTACAGAATGAGAGTGAACGGTGTATCAACACCTCAGTAAAAAACGAACGTTTATACAATCCGCCCGCCGAAGACCATTCCTCCCCCTTTGTCGACAGTGACATGTATCCGGTCTCCTTGATCCACATCCTTGAACTGAAAAGAACTGTGTTTGAGCTGGTAGAAGCATAGAGCCTTGAAATTCATACCGTCAACTCGCGTGTGCGATGCAAACTTTCAATCTCATCGATTCTGTCCCGCACGCCCTCTAGGAGCTCGTCAAAGCCTTCCTCCGCTACCACCTCCTGGGCGGCGTGGAGGATGAGCATCGAGTCCGGTCGTACATTGTGGTGAATCTGGAGAGCATTGTGAGCTTTCTCAAAAGCCAACAAACGAGAAGAAAACGTACATCGATGGAGATAACATTAATGCGGTCAAGTTCTGTTAGCGACGACGTCAGATCGCTGCCCCAGTGAGGAGAATTTATTACTGACCTTCCATAAAGTCAGCGCGCGTCATGATTTGACGACACCTCCACTGGACCGAAGGTAAGCGATATGATAGAAGAGCATACGAAGGGAAGCTGCTAACATAAGGAATGACCGGAAGCTCGAGAATGTCTTCCTCGACGAGTTCACCTGCTGCCATTGCCGCTTCTCGGGCCGCCGCTTGTTCAGCTCGAATTTTCACAAACTCTTGCAGCAGCAGCCAGGAACATGAACTCCATTTTTGCTGGAAGCACATGTGTGAATAAACATGACGCTGCAATGTGCAGATAAGGCGTGGAATGGTGTACCTCGTCCATGACATCGTCGTCGCAGTCTGGAATAAGACCTGAAGGGGAAACCATGAGTAGGAAGGAGCAGATATCATAATTGAAAACATACCAATTTGACTCAGAAGCCACGCTTGCTCGACCGACTTGAGATGATTGGCCATGGCTACCATATCCTTAGACTTCGCGACCTAATGGGATGCATCAATTATCAAGTAATCGGGGAAGGAGTCGGCAAAGCGTACCCGGTTGAGATACGAGAGTCGACCCCCAATAAGAGTTACGGCTTCTCTGATTTCGTCTGGGGTCGCCGCTTCACGCCTACTACTCATACGCATTCGAGTCGCCGCATGTAATGATCCCTTGGTATCAAGGTCACAGATGGACAGAACCTGGAAATGACGCGTAGTTGAGCATGGGGCGATGGTAGGGGGAATCTACACTCACATGCATGCGGCTAGCGGTCTTGCCTGAAGCGTGCGCTAACGTGAGCATAGATAGGTAAATGAGATACAGGAGCCCATACGCATGATGTGGAAAGGCCAAAAATCGTCACTGGTAACATGTTCGATAATGAGATGACCGTGTGATGGATTGAAATATACTTACGAGCTGAATACCATGGTCAAGATACCTGAATGAGCGTTGTCAGGAAGGGTTATACTCGTATGACCAGGCAACTTACCACTTGCGGCCCAGGATTCAGCCTTTTGCTGTAGTTGTAAGATCATGTTACGCCCTTCGTCATCGTTTTTGAAAAAGTGGATATTGTTGATGATAAGGACGAGAGGACGACCCGTTCTGCGCGCAGATCGTAGGGCCACCTTCTCGAGCTTGTTCAAGGCTATCAAGGAATAAGCGTACATGAAGGAACACTGAGCAAGCGAAAGTCACCTCTCTCTATGTCAAGAGCTGGACCACCTACACCGTGATGGAGCTTAGTTACATCTTGAGATATTGGGTGCAAGGAGCGTACCTTCTCTCGGATCTCTCCTTTGGAACAGACCCGTCTGGGAGTCCTCATTGAATTCATAGTTCAGCGACTTCCCAAGCCGAAGTCTGAAAACTTCCAGGTCAGGGTGGGCGTCACACATGGAGACACCCTCCGCCGCACACGCTGCCATGGAGTCGAATATCATTGTGCCTTTTCCAGAGCCCTACAAGACGCGTTCGATATACATTAGCATAGACAACAATCGCGGCGCACCTTGGGACCCAGTAGCACAAAATAGTGCCCAGGCTCCTGGCCTTGCACTATGCGGTCAATCGTGTCCTGCTCCTTGCGCCGCAGGTTTTCCGTCCATGGTGCTTCTTCGTCGAACACTAGATCCCCATTTTCACCTTCCGCTGGGGCCCTTTTCGTCTGATGAGTCGCGAGCTCGAGAGCGGGGTCATACCCTGCCGCAAAAGCATCTTCAATCTTTTTCAAGTCACGTCAGTGAAAGATATAGGGACAGTCGGAATGCGTCACCTTGTCCAAAACCCGTTTCTTGTACCAAGCCACGTATGCAATGCCTCCCCCAAATACTAGGACGCGACTGAGCACATGGGACTTCAAATATCCTCGAAACTCACCCATTCCCAAC